AGATAGAAATCAAAGATCGAGCAATTTGGAAAATATAAATTGGGCTGAGTCCCAATGGTGGGCTCGCAAGTTTTTGTTTGAAAATATAAGTCCCAATAGTTGCTTCGCCTGGTTTGCCGTTGTAAATAATATTTTTTGCGACGGTCAAATAATCAGTCGCAAAAAACAGACACAAAAAGTTGTTTTTCTAGTAGTGGGACTGTTTTTCTTGGAATTCAAGCTAGAACTTAGTGGTAGACCCCTATTCCAAGAAGTTAAGAGAGAACAGGAAAGGCCATGTACTTTGAGACGGTAATGTTGCCATCTCAAAAAGTACATCTTTACCACGTCATTTACACCGTCACAAAAAACTCCATAGCGAAAGATGCATTTTCTAGTAGTGTACCCACCCACATCCCAAGACTTGACATAGAATTGTAACCCTTTTTGATTGATCATGTGCCTCTGAGTCCCAATGGTGGGCTCGCAAGTTTTTGTTTGAAAATATAAGTCCCAATAGTTGCTTCGCCTGGTTTGCCGTTGTAAATAATATTTTTTGCGACGGTCAAATAATCAGTCGCAAAAAACAGACGCAAAAAGTTGTTTTTCTAGTAGTGGCACTGTTTTTCTTGGAATTCAAGCTAGAACTTAGTGGTAGACCCCTATTCCAAGAAGTTAAGAGAGAACAGGAAAGGCCATGTACTTTGAGACGGTAATGTTGCCATCTCAAAAAGTACATCTTTACCACGTCATTTACACCGTCACAAGAAACTCCATAGCGAAAGATGCATTTTCTAGTAGTGTACCCACCCACATCCCAAGACTTGACATAGAATTGTAACCCTTTTTGATTGATCATGTGCCTTTTCAAATGCATAAACATACATAAAATAGAAAGGGTAAGCCTATATTTTGTTAATGCAAAATAGCACAAATAAAGAAACAAAAAAGAAAGAATAGTCTGCATGGTAAAATTTAGGTAGTACCTATCAAACATAAGGTGATCCAAATCCACACCAAGAGCCAAAGAGCACAAGATCCTACCTACATAGACATGTTGATGTGCTTGTGATGACTTGATACCAATATGCTTGTAGTAACATAGCAACAAACAAGCTACCTTTAGTAGACCTTTCACTGCACATCACGACAGGCCCATACCTGCTGTCTGTCCCTCTAGTTCCAGAGCATCACTGTGGCACTCCTCTGTGAACCTAGATATCGCACGCTTCTCCTCTAGAGCCTTTATCTTCTTATGAAGTTCTGCAATCTCTTTATGTACTTTGGTGCTAGTGAGCTGCATCGGAGCTTATCAGTCTCCCTATCTTGTTCGAAAGGGATGATCTCTTTAGAATCTAACAATGCACGTTGCTCTCCAATCTCTTCATCCAATTTGGCAAGGGTGAGGTCTGTAGAAACATCAGCTTGGAGACCAAAGTGAGAATGCACCACTCTTATCAAATGACCAAAGGCAAATTGAATTTCGAAGCCAGCATAGTGGCCAAGCATGAAGCAGTGAAACCAACTCAATAGTAGATTTGTAGTAATGTCCTTGACCTTAGTACTCCACATGCTGTTTACAGCATCACATACTGTCATTATGTATAACATCTTTGCCTTTGGACTCAAATTGGACATGCCACTGAAGTCCCCATATTTCCCAAACAAGGTTCCTAAGATGGGTGCCAAGTTCTCAAGGATCATATAGTTATCGACCTTAAAAAGCTTTGATGTGGAATTCTAATTTTCCAAGGCATTGTGACTTGATTTTTCGAAACAAGTATTTTCATAATCTCAGAAGAGGCCTCATCTAAATACAAGGAATCTTTTGGATTGTCACTACTATCACCTTGTCTGTCCCTCCTAAAGGCATCAAAAACACCTTGTACTTCCTTGTTCTCATCCCCTTTGAACAAATCTAAAAATTGTTTTAATGTTAGTGAAGTTGGCTCCTGAAAAGTACCAAAGCACAAAATCATGACAGTAACTTTTTGAAGCAATTAAGCTTTGCTAGAAGCTTAAGTTAAAGAATTAATGGAATTAAATCTAAAAAAATAGCTCCTGTACACAACGTACTTTCACCAGAACACTATGCCAGATTTTCCCTCAACTTGCTCTGCACCTCTATTGCTCTCTTGCTCTGACCACTCTTCCTCTAGAAGATGAATGATCTAACAGGCAACAATAACTTAAGTTGGAACAACTGATCACCGAATAAGTTAAGTAAAGAAAGGATAAATAATAAAAGACGGGATAAGATCACTAAAATTCATTATTTTTCTACATTTCCATAATTGATTCTTTTCTAGATGTCCTAGTTTTTAATTCATTGAAAAGCCACTAGAAAGTGTCAAAAACATTTTATTTAATGTAGAAGTTTCCATAGAAATTCCAGTGTATTTTTATAGATCCAAATGTAAAGAACGAAAAGGAAAAAATATATATAAAAAAATAATCTTTTTAATCTAAACTAGGAAGTATTTTGTGCTATAGAGACAATTTTTTCGTCGATTATTAGTTCGGGTTTAGGCAAAATAGATTTTTCCTCTAAAAACCCAAAAATGTCTCAAAACATTATAAATGGAAAGTTCATTCACTACTATCTTGTTTAACCACCCTAGTTTATGATTAATGTACTTGCACCATTCTAAAATATGGTTGTTGTAGGACAGCTCTGCGACGACTTCAAAGCTGAATTTCCAAATATCGCCGCTTCTTTGAATTTACTCTTCCTTGAGCTTCTTATACTCTGCATCATTGGCTGGACGACATTTTAAGAACTTTTTACATTAATTGTAAATGCAAATATACACCCTCAGACTGAGAGATCTCCTGTTACATTTCTATACATCATTAATGTGGCAGTCAATAATGACAGATCTCCTATTACATTTCCATAGTAGAAGTCAAAAATGCGCACTATGGAACCTTAGCAACCAGACATGACTGCATCAAGACAACAGCAGCAAAACCACACCCTCAATTAACTAAATTAATGAGCTAAATCGTAACTAGACTATAAACCCAACGAAAAGTCTCTAATGTCAAGACTTTTGCCATTGGCCAGTTGTCATTATTAACCCTAAAAACATATAGTAAGAACCCAAGGTAAATATACAATTCTATAAACTATATAAATAACATGATTCACAATCTATAAAATTAGTCAAGAATTTTACTAAATAAAGCATGCTTTTTAATGATAGGCATATATTTTCTGTGCTATTATCATCCACCAAAGTGTAATATTTTGGAGTGGTACTAAATCTACATCACATGCAGTTGTACCCATAACCTTTCCCACTTACAAAGACAAGCCCCACTATGTCAGAGGAATATGAATATTGAAGGGGCTGAATGTGAAATGGGTCGGATCCAAGCCTTGGGCTGGTCCAATCTACTGAAGCCCAAATCCAAGTGGGTTAAATGAGTATATGGGTAATCCAATTGAGCCCAACTTCATGATCAACAGTCAACCCAAGTCCTCAAGCACTTGGGCCCAACCTGCAGTGGAAAGGCTAGTCTAGCCGTGATGTTGGCCTGGGCCGAGCTGCGAGACTGAATCTATGGGCCGAACAGAAAGTGGGTTGAGCCCACTCAAAGATGTCCGAATGGACCGGCTCATCCCGACAGAAATATGGTCTAAGGCCGAACCGAGGTACTATGGTATCGAGCAGAGGGAACCTCACAGGGAAACGTAAAAGTTGTGTGCATGTGCATGTGCAAGCTGCCACCTCAGCTGGTCCCTCACACCTAGGATCACGGAAGTTGTTGAACCAAAGGAATGTGGTTTGTTATCAGCATGACTACAATGAGTATATACATTCAATGACAACTACCAGGTGGTCCCCCACCTTGAGCAGTGCTAAAAGGACACTTGGCAACACCCAAGCTCCATGAAACCATCTTCAGAAGCAAGCAAGGAACACTATATATAATAAATGAACTTCACATTGAAGGTAACTGAATTATTCCAAGCTAAACCACACTTACATACAAACTCAACCCGCTATAGACTCCTTCTCCGATCGCTTATTCCCACACCGGAGGGGTTATCTGGCCAACCCCGGCCGAACAGCTCTAACGGTGCTTTTTGTGGCAGGAACCTCAGTCCCTGGATAGTCCAACCGAGTGCGGAGCCCCGATCCATTTTCATCTAGTGCGAAATCCGATACGCACAATTGGTGCGGTGAACGTGGATTACTTCATCTCTAAGCTTTGCACTCAGTTCCGACAATGGGGATTGAGTACATTCCACCTTCGACACATACTTCACAGACGGAGAAGACGAAGGACAAAGGCTTGGCACTCCCAACAGTCCTAGAAGAACAAACTGGAAACAATAATCGGACCCCTAAATCCGTCGAGCATTGATTACCCTTCGCTGGAGGCTCTGCTCATCATTTTCTTCTCTAAAAGGATTATAGAGATCGAATCATAGACTCCATGGGAATGGAGATACAGGAGCTGAAAGCGTAACTTAAGAGGGTGTTGGGTGATCCGACGGAAAAGAAGACTGAAGCAGAGCGCTCTTGTTTACGACGGGGGAGTTCGTCCAGAGAGCCACTAGTGAAAAAGTTCCCCAGAAATGAGTCCGGGCAACAAAGGCAGCCCATCCCGGTACAGAGTGAGGCGGCAAGCAGCCACACTCGTGGGTCACGCCAGAGAAAGGCTAAGAGGAAAAAGACGGTTAGTTAACAAATTGAATACCCCCCTCAAGACCTTCGTACTTGGTTGATCGGAAACAAGCAGAACGAACAACATCTGGATCATCTAGATCGTACTGTTCACTAGAGAGAACACCGAGCACTGGATAGGCTCGTCTTCTCACCATTCTCCTCGGAAATTGAGGCCATGAGACCTCCAAAGAAATTCACCCCACCAAAGTTCGCTTCATACGATGGGAAGTCGGACCCTCTAACACATATTAGCCATTACAGACAAATGATGTCTCTATGGAGCCGAGATGAGGCACTGATGTGCAAAGTCTTCCCATCCAGCTTGGGAGAAACCGGACTTCGATGGTTCGATCGACTCCCCGCTGGATCGATTCATGGCTGGAAGTAGCTCTCCGAAGAGTTCCTAGCCAGGTTCATCTCCAAACTAAGATCCCGAAGGAGCCGAATACACTGTTCAGCCTCCGGAAGGAGCAGAAGAAAACACTGCGCAGTTATGCTAGGAGGTACTGGGAAGAGTACAATGACCTGGAGGAAAATGTGTGCAACGAGCAGATGGCCGTTATGTCTTTCAAACATGGTCTACGCCCGGAGAGTAAGCTGAGACAATCACTTACCAAGCACCCGGCCACAGCATTGAAAGACTTGCGTGCCAGGATTGAGCAGTACGCTCACCTCAAAGATGATCAGATCCCCATCGAGGTAGCATCAGCAGAACAAATAGCTCGGCACAAGAAGAGATCAGATCGAGGAGAACACCGAGGGATCACAGTGAATGAAGTGGATAAGTCCAAATCCCACGAACCCGTCATAATCGTATTCAAAGAGTCGATCTATCGAATCCTAGAAAAGATCAAGAAAGAGCCCTTCTTTGTCTGGCCGCCGAAAATGTTGGGAGATCCGGCTCGGCGCAATCAGAAGCTCAGATGCACCTACCATCAAGATAGGGGGCACATGACTCAGAACTGCAAGGCACTGAAGCAACACCTGGGGGACTTAGTAGCAGCTGGGCACCTCCGGGATTACATTGATCAGGATAAGGAAGTGACTGAACAGGGGAACCCACCACCAGAACCGAATATTGAGCATCCACCTCGGTTGATAATAAATGTGATCCATGGGACAGCGACTCAGGAACCTGAGGAGACACTGAGAGAAGAGATTGCTAAAGTTGTGCAAATCCAACAGGTCATGTCAGTAAAGCCTGCATCGAAAAAGGTACGCACGGCACCTAAATCCCCCTTGTGCACTGTTTCATTTAATAGAAATGATTTAGAAGGCATACAGCACCCACATACTGATGCATTGATTATAACTGTGGAAATTGGGAAACGGTTTGACGTAAAACGAGTCCTGCTAGATCAAGGCAGTGCAGCAGACATATTGTATTATGACTTGTTCAGAAAGTTTGGTCTCTCCGAGCAACACCTCACCCCAGCGGTAGCCTTGTTAGTTGGCTTCAATTCGCAACTAGAATGGCCGCTTGGCAAAATAGTGTTGCCAGTCGTGGCAGGAACAAAAACCCTCCAGATAGAGTTCCTAGTTATTAATACACCATCCCCTTACAACGCAATACTTGGCCGTCCATGGATTCATCAAATGGAGGCGGTCCCTTCAACCTAACACCAGCTCATCCGTTTCCCAACGGAACATGAAGTAGAGCAGATCTCAGGGGATCAAGTCATGTCCAAACACTGCTTCATGGCGGCATTGAAGGCAAAGCAACTCTGCAATCGGGTACAGACAGTGGAAGTGGCCGAACAGCCAGTCTTGGAAGATGTAGGGGGAGCCCCAGAGGAAAAGATAGTGGAGGATTTGGAGAAAGTCTTGGTAAAAGAGGATGATCTAGAAAGGTACTCCCTTATCGGTACCTCACTAGGCGCTAATGAGAAACTTCAGCTACTGGAACTGCTAAAGGAAAATATAGAGGTATTCGCATGGTCAGCATATGACACTCCAGGTTTGGACCTAGAATTTGCTTGCCATAAGCTCAACATCAACCCTTCCGCTCGGCCCATTGTGCAGAAAAGTCGAAGATCCTCAGTTGAGCACACTTAAGCAGTAATTGCCGAAGTCGAAAAACTCCTGGCATCGGGAGCAATCAGAGAAGTTCAGTACCCACAATGGCTGTCCAACACAGTTGCAGTAAAAAAGAAGAACGAAAAATGGAGAGTTTGTATTGACTTCACCTGCTTGAACAAAGCTTGCCCTAAAGATAGCTTTTCGCTGCCTCGCATTGATCAACTAGTAGACTCAACAGTGGGGCATGAGTGCATGAGCTTTCTGGACGCTTATAGCGACTATCATCAGATACCACTATTCGGTCCGGATCAAGAAAAGACAGCATTTATCACTCCAAGAGGAACTTACTGCTACAAAGTGATGTCGTTCGGCCTCAAGAACGCCGGGGCAACCTATCAGCGGATGATCACTCAGATGTTTAAGGACCAACTGGGAAAAACCATGGAAGCTTATATAGATGATATGATAGTAAAAAGCAAGCTCGCTACAGACCACCTTACAGACTTAAGAGAAGTTTTTGCCATCCTGAAAAACCATCTGCTTCGCCTCAATGCCTCGAAATGTGCTTTCGGGGTAGGAACAGGGAAGTTCTTGGGATATATGGTCACTCACAGAGGAATCGAAGCGAATCCGGACCAAATCAAAGCAATACAAGATCTTGAAGTACCAACAAAGGCCAAAGAGCTGCAGAAACTGGCCGGAATTGCGGCCGCACTGAATCGGTTCATCAGCAAATCTTCAGATCGGATGAAGCCCTTCTTCTAGCTTTTGAGGAAAAGGGTAGCATTTGAATGGAGTTGCGAGTGTACCGAAGCACTGCAAAGTCTCAAAAGATACCTCAGCACACCTCCTCTTCTGTCCACTCCAGAACCAGCAGAGGAGCTGTACCTCTATCAAGCAGTCTCAGATCATGCCGTAAGTGCAGTATTAATTCGAGAAGTTAACAAGGAATAGAGGCCTGTATACTATATTAGCAAGAGTTTACTAGATGCCGAGACGTGGTATCTACCATTGGAAAAGTTAGCTTACGCGCTGCTTATCGCCTCAAGAAAGTTGCAACATTACTTCCAGGGGCATACCATTAACGTCCTCACTAAATTCCCCCTCAGAACTGTGTTTAGCCAAGCTGATTTCTCTGGCAGAACAGCGAAATGGACGGTAGAACTTGGTGAATTTGACATTCGGTATCAACCCAGGATGGCGATCAAGGCCCAGGTCTTAGCAGATTTCGTTGCAGAATTTGCTCCCACCCAGAATACCAAACCAGGGAATCCTAGTTCGGCACAGATGCCACACATCACCGAACAGGGAAAGCCCTACGCTTTGGAAGCATGGAAACTCTTTATTAGAAAAATCTGGCAGCTTTATGTTGACGGGTCGTCCAATAACCGAGGCTCAAGGGCAGGAGTAGTACTTATCTCACCAGAAGGATTTATCCGGGAACAGGCTCTCAGGCTCGGTTGGAAGGCCTCAAACAACGAGGCAGAGTACGAAGCGTTATTGGCTAGCTTACGTAGTGCCGAACACTTCAGTGTAGAACAGCTTTTTGTTTTCAATGATTCACAATTAGTGGTAAACCAGCTTTCTGGGGTCTATGAAACACAAGATGAAAGAATGGCTATGTACGCAGGCAAGGCCAAGGACCTACTCAAAAAGTTTCAACCATACGAGTGGAACGAATTAGTCGAGACAAAAACAGCCACGCCGATGCTCTGGCTTGTCTCGGCTCACCAGTGGATACAAAGGATGCTAGAAAAGTTTGGGTTGAGTTTGTGTCAGAACCAAGTATTGCATCTCCAGTCCTCTGCAGCAACTTAGAGTCGAGCTGGATGGATCCAATACTTGCTTTTTCTGAAAGCTGGTACTCTCCCCGAAGACCAAAGGAAAGCCAACAAAGTCAGACACAGGTAAGCTCGATTCTGGATCTCGCCATCTGGGAAGTTGTACAGACGCTCCTATCTAGGCCCTTATCTTCTATGCGTGCATCCAAATCTAATCGAGAATGTTCTCTACGAAATTCACGATGGGATTTGTGGATGCCATGTTGGTGGAAGGTCAGTAGCACATCGGGCCCTCACTCACGGGTACCGGTGGCCACAGATGCAACAAGATGCGCAGCAGTACGTACAGAAGTGTGATAAATGTCAGAGGTTTGCTCCACTCATACATCAGCCAGTCAAAACTCTTGCTCCCCTGACCAGCCCATGGCCCTTTGCCCAGTGGGGTCTGGATATTGTCGGACCATTGGCACAGGGCACTAGGAACAGGCGATTCTTCATTGCTGCAACCGACTATTTCACTAAGTGGGTCGAAGTCGAAGTACTAGCAAGTATCAAGGAAGCAGACACAAAGCGGTTTGTCATGAAAAGCGTGGTGGTGCGCTTCGGCATCCTGCGGATTCTGATTACGGATAATGGAACACAGTTCGATGGTAAGATCTTCAGAAAGTTTTGTACCGACCTCAGGATCGAGTATAGGAACTCTTCTCCAGGGTACCCACAGAGTAATGGACAGGCAAAAGCATCAAACAAAACCATCATCAACGGAGTAAAGAAACTACTTGAACATGCAAAAGGCAAATGGGTTGAAGAGTTACCCCACGTATTACGGGCCTACCGAACCACAGCACGGCGTTCAACGGGGGAAACACCTTACTCCCTAACTTATGGAATGGAGGCCATCATCCTACTCGAAGTAGGTCTCCCAACCCTTCGGTCTGAATTTTTTGAAAGCACCAGTAATGAGGAAGCTATTGCCCAAGCACTGGATATGGCAGAGGGCTGAAGAGAAGCAGCGCTGATCAGACTTGAAGCGTATCAGCAGTAGCTCATTAGAAGTTTCAATCAAAAAGTCTCCCCAAGGAAATTTATACCTGGAGAATTGGTTGTGAGAAAAGTTATGGATCACAACGGGTACCAGGCGAGGGCAAACTTGGGCCTAACTGGGAGGGTCCGTACAAAGTCACAGTTGTTGTCGGGAATGGAGCTTACTACCTAGAGGATCTGAAAGGCAGAGCTATACCTCGGCCCTGGAATGTAGCAAATCTCAAAAAATACTATCAATAGAATTATCCCCCAACTTCTCTATCAGAATGTAAAGACATTTATCTGTTGCCCAATGCAAATGTTTCCCCACTTCTCTCAAATTTATCAAATTCTTGTAATTAGCTTTGATGTTTATCAAATGGAATAAGCTTTGGTTCTCACCAAACGGAATTAGCTTTGGCTCTTACCAAACGGAATTAGCTTTGATGTTTATCAAACGGAAAAAACTTTAGTCTTAACCCAAATGGACTTAGTTTCAGAACGACTGGACGGAATTTAAATTTGGTTAGCACTCAAACATGCCAAGTGGTATTGCTTGGTGGAATAATGTTTGGCAACTAAATTGGACTTTAGCCAAGTGGAATTGCTTGGTGGAAACCACACTAATATATCTTAAGTAAATATCTTTGAATCCACAGAATTCCTTAAGTATCAACACGTCAACACTTCAGTACTGATGCAAACAAATAGAGTTGGAACAAACTTGGCTAAGCTCTGTCAGCAGCAAACTTCCAGCATTAGTCTTACTCAACTCCAGGTGGGGGCAAACAATTGTTTTTTCAAACCAACCTGGACCTGAGTAAGACACCTCTCCATGCCTTTATCCCATTCAAATGCATCTGTGCTATCAAAGTTGAAACAGACTTAAGCAGTTCTACCTAAGAGCACAATCTTCAGTACCGATCTTACTTAGCTCCAAGTGGAGCCAACCAATTGTTTTTTAAAAACCAACTAGACCTAAGTAAGACCCTCTTATGAAATCAAGCACAGCCATACCACATATTCGTTAGCCACACCGAGCATCTGTTCGGCCCCGAGGTCCTAACAGTGCTCGGCCGGAGGCAAACAGTACAAAACCAGACCGAGCCTCTATTCGGCCCCGAGGTCCCAACAGTGCTCGGCCGGGGGCAAGCAGTACAAAATTAGACATAGCACCTATTTCAAACAGTACAGAACCAAACCGAGCCTCTATTCGGCCCCAAGGTCCCAACTGTGCTTGGCCGGGGGCAAGCAGTATAGAAAACATTCAGACATAAAAGCCAAACAACATCAGGTTGCAAATTCAAAGAGAAAATCCTATCATCCAACAAAAGGCACAGATGGCCTCATAACTAGCAACAAAGAAAAGAAAAGAGAAAAGAAAAATTGTCTTGGCAAGTACAGAAAGAAAGCTCGTCAAGGGGACTGAGCCACAGTACATCAAAACAAAAAAGCAAAAACTTCAATTCCTTTCAGAAGAACTTCAACTTTCATTAACCGAGGGAACCTCTGGAACAACATCCACGATCTTGTCCAGGCCGTGTTAGGGAGGAAAAGTAGAGGCAGCTCCAACTTCCTGAGAAGTAGGAGCCTCCTTAACCACATCTCCCGCGGCTTCAGTCTCCAGGGTTTCACCCCCTTCAACATTCACCATTTCAGCATTTCAGCGGCAACATTACTGTCTTGGGTCTTGTTTGCATAATCAATTTCTGGGGAAACTTCAGCTGGAAGAACAGCAAGGGTGAAGACAGTCTTTGAACCCAAGGATCTTGAGGGAACTGGGACATCCTGAAACAG